CTAATTCTTATAAATAGTTTACTACATATTATAGTAGCTTCAAATTGACGAGTTAAACATGATAAATAGGCTTGAACCAGTTAAATGAACAAAACGTGTTCGCAAACACGTTGAATCACATGCAACCGTTGTTGGAAAACGTAATCAGTTAAATCATTTAACTAGTTTGAAAACTAGTTCAGCGCAGAGTTGTATCAGAAATTTTTCTTCTACAGCCAATCAGAAAGAGCCAAAAGCTTTAATTTGACACGCCAACGCTCAAAACATTTGTATTCTCAAAAATAAATAAAAGTAATCATTTCCAAAAAAAATATCGCCCGCGGAGATAAATAGTTAATACAAACTAGACATTTACGCTGCCGAGTTACGAAAATATCGGCGCGGCGACGGCGGCGTTTGGCGCCTAAGGAATTTTGTACAAAGTGTTCATGATGTATGCACATTGAAATACAACCGCTTGAAGGAACTACTACTTAGATTTATAAAGGAGTTTTTGTTTACCTAATTTGGGCCACTGAATAGGAATATCGCACGTTTACAAATATAGAGATGTAATTCAAAATTTACGATTTTGGAGAGTTTAACATACAATTAATAAGCTTGATAAGAAGAAAATGCTCAGATTAAAGTTGGGATCCCACTATTGGCGCAAATAGCACAATATGTATCGATTTTCATCGTACTTGATTGGTACATGTTTAAAAAATTTGTACAACTACTTTTTGGGTGGTCCCATTATCATCGCATATTGTCACATTGTGCTTTGTTAATAATAACAATAAATAAATTGTCGACTTTGATCGCGGCATTAACGCCCGAGTGTTCACAATATCGATGCAGCAATATTAATTTTGTTTGCTAAAAGTCAGCACGATTTCGGCTCAAATTGGCACATTTCGAAAAATTCTGTTTGTTTAAACTATTGGTACATGAAATGGGCCGAAAATCGGCTCATTGCGCCCATAATGGGATCTTAGCGAATATATTTGTCTTTCTCTGTCTTTTGGTATACCAATTATATGAATTTATCAAACTTTGATTGCGCTTTACCACAAAATTAAAACTTTAAAATAATTCTGTATACGTGCGATATGAACTCCTTTATTTTTTAAAAACAAAAAAAAAAACGTAACTCAGAAAAACATACGTTTTTCGATCAAAAGCGTTTATTACAGTTAAAGTAGGGTCGAACACTGGTAATCTGACGATTTTTTTTGCGCAGTAGTATATTTTTTTCAATACTACGAGAGTACTACTTTTTGATATACTACAACAACAAAAAGATTATCGTTAGGACAACCAAAAATATGCTCGAGCATGTTGGTTTTCTTATGTATACTTTATCACAAAATGCATAAAAAGAAAATGCTGATTGTAAAAAGATAAAGCGTTTTAGCCATATTTGTTAGAGCATATTTGCAAATGAACAACAGCATTGAAACTAGAAGCACATATACAGGCAGGTTCTGCAACTTACTTCCGCGGGAATTTCAACCCCTTGCAATATGAATTCGAAGTGGCTTTGGCTGAAACTCACTCGGAAGTGAATTGCAGAACCTGCCTGATAGAAATTGTTAACAGTGCTGAAGAAAAATTAAACGCCGTAATTTTTTAAGCTAAAATCAGTTTTTAGCGAAAAACAGGGCTTTGTTGTAATAAAAACTACTGTAGGCCAAATTGAATCCGGTAATTCAATTCATCTGATTGAAAAATATACAGTGACTAAAATTTCTGCCTTAAAGTTCGTGCCTTTTCCATGTTTAAGAATGTATTCCATGATAACAGTCAATCATTGCTTTCTGAAAATTTATCCGAATCTTTTGTTATTTATTGCCACAAAAATATTTAAGTTATTTTTATTTCTATACATATATAAGTGTGTGGTGTAGTGGTAAGCAGTGCGCGCTTCCACTCCGCAGCACCTGGGTTCAAGCCCTAGTCAAAACAACATTGCAAAAAATATAGAAAACAGGTTTTTTCTTAACAGCGGTCGTCCCTCGGCAGGCAATGGCAAACCTCCGAGTGCATTTCTGCCATGAAAAAACAGCTTCTCATAAAAATACAATCGCCGTTCGGAGTCGGCGCAAAACTGTAGGTCCCTCCGATTTGTGTGACAACATCAAGGCGCACACCACAAATCGGAGGAGAAGCTCGGCCAAACACTAACACATGTGTAAGCGCCAATCTATTATGATTATTATTATATTATGTAAGTGAATACGCACTGAATGTGTAATATTTTACTTTTGTCAGTGTGTTTGTACATATTTGAATAAAATTCAATAGATTTTTACACAAGAAAAATTTAGCTATCTATTTTTTTAAATGCATATTTTAAGAATGTTTTTGATATTATGGGGGGGGGGGGGGGGGTCGATTGTGTGTTAGAACAGAAAAATACTGGGAGTTATAAAGACTTTGGTTATGTAAGAGTTAAAAAAATAGTAACTCGCGAATTTTCTGCTTTCTGAAATTAAAAAATTATACAACAGGCATGCAAATCTTTAAGCGCTGTTATACATTTTTTTCTGAAATTTATTTGTGTTTCTTGCTGTGGTCTTAAATTTTAGTCATGGTAAAGAAAATCTTAAGAAGTGAGTTGTTTGACATTTGGAGAAGTGTTGCTGAAACTTCTAAAAGACAAAAAGGTGTCCGTGATTACGTGATTAGTAAATTGAAAGAAATATCTGATGAAAATGCTCGTTCCGAAGTAAATAAAGTAAATTAAGTAAATGACTTTAGATTCGTAATCAGCAACCCAGAAAACCCCCAGATACCCAGTTTCATAGAAATCTACCGATTTTTTTTAATTTTCGTCCGCCATATTGGATCCGCCATTTTGAATTTTTGATAAGTGACTTCAGATTCGTAATCAGCGACCCAAAAATCCCCTAGGTAAGAAGTGGTGTAAAGATCCATCAACGAGTATTTGTTTAAATAGTTTCGTCCAGCTAGATTTGCGATCCGAACCACTGTGCGATCTTGTGCTGTACAATAATCACATTTTAAAAACTGAATAAAATCTTGACATTAGTAAAATTTTGCGCTTAATATTTAGTGGAAATTTTAACCATGGGTCAAAAAAGCCGGTTCTAGTGGGAGTTAATGGGTTAAACTGTTGGAAAAAAGTAGACCACCCTTTTTTTCAATCTACAACCCGAAAAATCGTAAGAACTCAATAATTTAACATAACGGTGCATAAGATTACTACAAAAATTTATTAGTAGAGGTATTTCATGTCACCGCGGTCACCTCTATGCGCGACCTCTAAGGATTTGGATGAAAGTTGAAGAGATTGAAGGTCTAGGTGATATGAATATACGTGCAGTATATTTTGCCGATATAACGTAGGGCTTGCCTATTTACACGGGACTTAAACTTTAAGAAAACGTCGTACATACCTTTCTTTAAAGTGCTGTATCTTGGAAACCTTTTAATGAAAAAACATGTATTTGCACCAATGCTTAAAGATCAGACTAGCCTATAAACATAAAACTAAAGAAAAAACATGCATTTCTTCCGTGTTATTATGGGCTTTAATTATACATTTTTTACATCAATGTGCAACGTATCAAAAAACAAAAAAAAAAATAAGTAAACATTTTTCTTTTTGATTTATTTTTTTTATAGCGTTTCAAACATTGTTTTTTTTTTTAACATAAAAACATTGTCTATAATGTCAACTTTAAGTACCCAAATGGGCGTAATGGGCTACTTAGGCGTATGGACTCTGGATCGTCTAACGCTCGAGCAATATGATAAATAGACATTGAAATTTTTTGAAATTGTATATTTTTGAAAGAGGAAAGTTTTCTTAAAATTTAAGTCCCGTGTAAATAGGCCTATCGACAAGATATGCTGCACGTATGTTCATGTCACCTAGACCTTCATTCTCTTCAACTTTCATCCAAATCCTGAGAGGTCGCGCACAGAGGTGGCCGCGGTGGCATGAAATGCTTCAGTAGCGACATAAACTACTCCAATAACTTAACCTTTTTATTTTTAAATTTAAATAGTACATACGGATCTGTAGAGAACATAGAGAACCATGTGTGTATGTATGTTCATATGTAAATATATACCTCAGGCCTTCTTCTGTTCGCCCATCCATCAGCGCCAGGCACTCATCATTTTAATTCAAGTAGGAAGTAACATTATTTAAATTTAAGACTTATTCAAGAATGAATTAAATAGAATTATAATCTGAATTGGCATATCGAATGCCTAGCGCTGACGAGGTGACATGATAAGACTAGTATCCCCATGGATCTTTGGAATCTACCTTATGGGCAGTAGCGCCGGCGTCGCCGCCGATTGTTTTTGAAGTTGACCATGCCGCCGCCGCGAAACCTGTCGGCGTAAACCTCTAATACAAACTAACAATTTTGAAGTCTCTAAGTAAACCGCATGCGTTAATATCATAAAGCAGACAAAATCGGACAAAAAAATCTAAACAAAAACTTGATTCTTATTTGTAATCGAGCAAACGTCAAAATTAACTTTATAATTTCAATGTGAACGATTGTGATATATGAGAAGCTCTTCTTCATTTAACATGTTAAATAGCGCTCATTTGAACGTAATATTACATTTTGTTCTTACATTTTAAAACTAAGTACATTATTCATCAATTCTTTGCCTTAATCCACTAATGATTAATTTCGTTAAAATAGAGTATCTTTGAATTGTACTCGTCATCATTCAAAGTGTGTAATATTTTCGTGCTAAATTATTTTAGTTTCCGCATAACTAATTGCGTCTCCTGGAAAATCTGAATTTTCGAGTTAAGACTGTCTTTTAGTTAATGAACGATGTAGCATATAAATTTTAAGAAATTTCCAGAATCAGCACTGTTACCCTAGATTAATAAAAGGATTAAGCCATTATCTTCAGCAGCCCAATGCCAGAAAATAAAGCGATAAAGCTTTCTTATTACTTCACCTGTATATTGAACCAAGGTAAATGTTTAAAAGATTTTGGCTAATCTATTTTAATTTTAGGCACGAATTCTTTTACCGTCGTTTTCATATGTTAATTACGGACTTCATTGAATTTATGCATTCTAAAGTAACCGAATTACGAGGAAAGGCTGATGAAACCGCTCGAGCAGTTATGGGATTTTTAAAAGAAGGTCTGGAGCCACCCAGCAATTTAGACCACAGTTTTGAAATGTTGATGCTGTGTATATCCAAATTTTATAAAGATAATCGAGCCGAACTCTCGCTGTGCATAGAATTTTGGGAACCACTTGATTCAACGTTCAGTTCATTGAAAACAACTTCTCGATCAGTGTCATTATTTAAGTTTATTCGTTTAGCTGGAGAACTGTTACCATCTACTCTGTTTGTATCGTATTTAAAAATGATAGCTGGTTTGACAAGTTGTGAAAGGTCTGCGCGTTATACCTTCAACCTGTTGAGACAAGCTTCAGGATTAACTGGCAGCACAGCTTTATCCTGGGAACATTTTTTTGGATCTCTGATTCAATATTATTCGTAAGTATAATTTATTTACAAATAAACTTCTTATCAATATTTTATCCGCATTTGCGATCTTATGCAAATTATAAATTATCTTTATTTTAAACCAATGATCCTGACTTTTGCACATCGAACGTTGCTAGACCTACATACGTCGTTTTTGTTGGAAAAAGTTAAACGAAAGTCAAACTTTGTCTGTGCGAACAGTTTAGAAAAACGCATTTAATTGTTTATCTTCTTTTAGATCGAATGCCATTCGGCTTAACATAGAAAATTATCAGGGGCCGTAACGGTTCTGATATAATAAAAATCATAATTTAATAGTTAAAATTGGATTTTTATTTTTTTGATCAATAAAACACAGGGCAACACTGATTTTCGTGCGGCAAATGTTAAAGCTGTTTTTGATCGACTTTTTTATACAGATTACGAATCCGTAAGTTGCCATCAGCTCCAGAGGAAAACTAGGTCAATGTGGCAAACTGGCGCATAAAAGTCAACGAACAGACGTGTAAATATATACAATTTTCATTGAGACCGCAATTATGCCCGGCATCAAATTAAGTAATGTTCATATTGCACAAGCCAATGGAGTGACGTATCTAGAAATAAACTTCGACAGGAAACTAACCTGGCGCAAGAACACATAACCAAGATTGCACAAATGAAGCTGAAGTCAGCTTGAACTGACAGAAATTCAAAAATGAAACTGGATTATAAAGTACTTATAAATATATAATAGAGTCATCAAGCCTATATGGATGTATGGTATTCAACTGTGGGGTACAACCCGTGGAACCAACATTAAGAGTATCCAAAGATTTCCATCAAAAGCGCTAAGGACCTTAACGGGAGCACCGAAACGCAATGAAAATATACATAGAGGCCTTGGGATACCGATGGTGTAAAATAAAACTGCTTAGTCACCCAAATCCACTGGCAGGTGGATATGTTGTTCAACACAACATATCATGACGCCTGCAAAGAAGAGATCTACCAGCCTTTTGTTGAGCGAAGCTAAACCAGGCGATTTGAACTATATCATTGTAAATTAGACTTGAGATTTTCAAACATGTTAGGCTTCATAGATGTAAAATAAGCAGATTCGACAAATAAATACACGTACAGTTATGTTCACAAAAATAGCCGCGCTATATCCAATATTATAAAGTCATTCATAATAGCAGTAAAAGCACCTTAGTTTTAGTATACCGCGAGCGAGCGAAAATAAATGTTCAATGTTTTTACGGAGTTAGTTTGTTATGCACATGTGATAAAAGCTGTTCATAATAATTGCAGAATTAAATTAAATCGGTATTTTCTTCACACAAATTTTGATTGTTCTGATCTTTTTGCTGCGAATGGTAAGTTTAATTTCGTTGAAATATATAAGCATAATGGGCAGATCCAAGCACTGCACAGAAGAAAAGCGAAATTTCATCAAAACATAGCGTAAAAATGGCAAATATTATCGAGAAATAGAAAAAATTGTACGATGCAGTTCTAAAATGATTGCAAATGCTTTAAAATGGCAAAATAAACCAGAAAATTGCAAAACAAAATCCAAAACTCAGCTCCAGAGAAATAAAGCAACGACTAGAGTTACTAGTCAGTGCAGTGACGATAGGAAGGAGATTGCTAGAATCTGAATTCCTCCCAGAAGCCCCCGGAAAGTGCCTTTACTCACCAAAAAGCACATTGCAAAAAGGATGGAGTTGCAATATGTTCTGATATGAAGTGTTGCAATATTTTGTGGAGCGACGAGAGTAAAATGGTACTATTCGGCTCTAAAGGCCGTCGAGAACACCGTGAAGACCGTAAAACATGGTGGTGCTTCCATCATAGCCTGGGCGTGCTTTTCATACTACGGTGTAGGTCCGATTTACAAGATTTCTGGAGTTATGGATCAATTTATTTATATAGACATCCTTGAGATCCCTATGCTTCCATATGCCGAAGACAACATGCCGCTTAAATGGGTATATCAACAAGATAGTGACCCGAAGTCGATATAGTGGAGTGGCCGGCACAATCGCCGGACCTAAATCCCATCGAAAATCTGTGGGGAGATGTCAAGAACGCCGTAAGAGCAGCGAACCCTAAAAACAGCGCAGAACTTTGGGAAAAAGTGTTCGAGGCCTGGTATGCTATACCCACTAGAGGGCTGCATGAATTCATTCAAAACAGCTTATGAATTATTCATATACAAAACGAATGAATGTTTTTGGCTTAAATTTTTTTTGAATTAGAGTGAATACCTGTTCTGATATGTGTGTCGACATTACAATATTCAAACAAAGTAAAAATAAATTGAATTGAAATAAATGACAATTTTTTGTATGGATATTCAAAAATATTTTTTCTATGCATGATTCAATAATTAAAGGTTTGCTCATTAGTGGCATTCGAGTTTTGACACTCCCTTAGCTCCCTTACAAAAGCTTTGCACTCACACACGAACCCACTCACAGTGCCTTGCTAAGGGAGCTGATTTGGTCACGAGGGAGCGAGAAAACTGTTTTTTGAGCAAACCTTTTATTATTGAATCGTGTTTTCTATGTACATATTAGAGGGCTGCATGAATTCATTCAAACTTCTAGCCAAACAGAGTACTCTAGATTTGAATATTTTACTTCACATACAAAACACTCAGCGTTTGGAATTTTGTAAGTTATGAATACTCATTTTGTTTTTAATTTTCTACCTTCAAATGGAAGAATGTGAATGACTGAATGGAAAACATTCAAATCATTCAAACTCATTTCGGTAAAAGTTTTTTCTTTTACAAACAAGTTTTTTTCGTACGTAATAGGAGCGCAGCAATACATACATACATACATATGTAGGGCGGTATTGTCACTTGCGAAGCGAATGAATTTGGCGAAGCGAACGGTTTGGCGAAGCGAAGGGATAGGCGGACGCAACTTAAATATGCATTAAGAGTGTTCGCTTTTATCAGCTTGTGCAAGTTCTTCGCATCGCGCACACTTTTAATACCTTCTCTGCCTTTTAATTCGCTTCGCCAAATTCATTCGCTTCGCAAGTGACAATACCGCCCGTATGTTTGTACATATGTGCATAGAAAAAATATTTTTGCATATTCATACAAAAATTTGTCATTTATTTCAATTCAATTTATTTTCACTTTGTTTGAATATTGTAATGTCGACACAAATATCAGAACAGCTATTCACTCAAATTCAAAAATTTGAAGCCAAAGTCATTCATTCGTTTTTTATATGAATAATTCATAAGCCGTTTTGAATGCATTCATGCAGGCCTCTAGTACATATGTCCAAACATACATATTTGTGTTAGACTGCATCGCTCCCCATACAAAGAAAAATCTGTACTATTTTTCCATTAGAATTATAAAATCTATTATATTTTAAGACGTCCACCAAAATATTTCCGAAAAATACTAAGATTTAAGTGAGCTGGACCGATTTGAAAATACCTCCAAAAATGGAGTTTTTCATGAATAAAAATAGGTTCTTAAAGATTTTTTTTTTTGAAAAAATCCCCTCAAATGACAAAACGGTTTAAGCTTAAAAAATTTGCATGAAAATATTTTTTAAAAAATTAAAAAAAAATTTAAACGGAATCGTAATGATGAGATTTTTGATACTGTTTTTTAACTTTTTTCAAAGATTGGTATAAGAAAAACTTGAATAACTGAACCTAAGCTCTTCCGATTTAGACTTAAGAGGTGTCACTGGAAAAGTATTTTCTCACCCTTTTTATTTATTTGATAATAAACTCATTAAAAGGATGAAAGAGAAAGGTAGGATGAACGAACGTCATTCAAAGTTGAATTAAGATGTGTTGGTATTTGAAAAAAAAGGGGACACGAATGGCTTTTTTGCACTGAAATAAAAACAGTGTGAAAATACCTTTCTATCGAGATCCCATAAGTCTAAATAAGAATAGTTTTGGCCCAGTTATTCAAGTTTTTTGTAAATCAATCTTTGAAAAAAAGTAAAAAAAAAACAGCATCAGAAATCTCATTCTTACGATTCCGTTGAAAAGATTTTTAAATATTTTTATACAGATTTTTTAAGCTTAATCTGTTTTGCCATCTGAAAAGCAACTGCTTAGTTTTTACTCATAAGGCGCATTCACTGAAATCTTCTTCCAAATTGTTCTCACTATCGATTCCATTCAACGATATTTCTTCCAACCATTTTAGAACTTGTTCTTCATAGGAACCCCTCTCGAAAAGTAAAAAAAAAAAATTAAGTTCAAAACAGAAAATAGCCAACAAACATGTTAAAAACTGAAATAAGTACAGCAAACAAAATTACCTTTACTCCTAACGTTCGCCTGTCAGGCGTCAAGAGGGCGTGGAACTCAGCCGCGCAAGGCCACTGCACAATGTGCGTTTGCTAACAGCCTCGTACAGCGCTAAGCTGAGTTGGCGCGAACGTTTACTATGATCATTAAAAGCGTTCCTGAAATATCGCGCTTCGTTCCGCCTCACAGGCGAACGTTAGTATTCTAGGGATAGATATGCAAACCACGTGATTTCCTACGTGACACGTTGCGTGACTGAAACTTTGGCTGGCGTGAGCGTGCGTGAGTTAGAGTTTCCGCCAATCACATAGTTTTCACATATCGAGCCCTAACCGCCAAAAAGATGTAAAAAGATTTATTTCAAAATTTTCTTTATGATGCAGAAATGTTCCTGGAGCATCTAGATGCATTTCTGCATCAAAAATAAAAAAGATGTCGCTTACATATTTTTGACGTTTAGGACTCATACGATGTATGTATACATTAGGGATGTTTCGAATGTCATATTTTTCACATTCGCGAATGCTTACTTAAAATGTTTTTTAATTATTAGAACATTGAACGATTGCTTAACCTATACAGTGTTTTAATCTAGTAGTCAAAGTTCAAAATGCGCATATCATATTTCAAAAAAAGTAATTTTGCTGCCTTTTCTCCCATGAGGCGATTTCTTAGAGGCTCGTATATAAGGCCGGGCACTGAACAATTGCTCACTTGGACAG